GACGTGCTCGCACCAATTCGGTTTTTCACAGGTACAGGAGAACCCTTCTTGTTGCCGGTTGAATCTCACTCTCCCCGCCTTCTTCTGTACTTGAATTGTCATGTCTTCTCCCAGCCGTTGCGCAGTGTAGTCTGATATAGTCTTTGCCCCACGAATTCTACAGGACCGCAAACGCCAGGAATCTGGCATACGATGATGCCATTCTTTGCTTCAAAGCTGCTGCTTGAGACATCATGGACTTTGCTGCTTGCCATCTTCCTGGCAGCCGGCGTAGTCGCGCAAACCTGTGTGCCGCCGCCAATAGCGCTTCCTATCAAAAACGTCACTTTATCGACGGGCAAGATTCAGCGCGGTGTGTTTCTCACTGTTGCTGAGCCCGAACAGAGCTTTGCCTTTTTGCCTTATTGGTAAGGGTCTCTTCTTTTCTTCTGTTTTGTTCTGCCTCTTGACCAGAGACAAATCGTTTGATTTTTACTCATTTACTTTCCCTCGTCTTATCCTCTCTCGTGACTCGTGAGTACGAGTGACAACGCAGAAACTAACAGGAGTCTTCACAAGGCGAGTCAACAACACATTCCTGTACGGCCCCGCTTGTGATTCCTTGAATCTCACCTGGGAAGGGGACTCATGTGTGACCTTTCGAGGAGGCGTCTATAAGCCAGCCGATTCAACTACCAAGGGCGCGCCGCCATCAAGCTTCAAGCCACCCACGGAGCCGTGGAGCTCCAAGACGTACAAGTTCTTCTCGGACAAATTCAACGTGGCTAGCAACGTGAGCTTGGACAACTTTGTCTTTGCCAATCCAGTCGATTACACAGGGTGGGATTTGCAGGGCTACGACCCTTTGAACATGATTGGCATGGACAGGGGCTCAACCCTCATGTCCGCGTTACGAAGCACCGGACGTATTGCGTCTTCAGCATTTGGATTCTGGTGGGGGCTCGACGGCGTTGAAGACGACGACCAACAACAGGGCTCATTTGTATTAGGAGGCTACGACAAAGCCAAGACGTACGGCGACGGCGCCACGATGCTCCTCAGTCATCACGCCGACTGCCCGACGAGCATGATGGTCACCATCCAAGACATCACGATGAACCTGGCAAACGGCACAGACGCATCCATCTTCTCCAAAGAAAACGGTGGCACGGCCTTGCTGGCCTGTGTTGTGCCACAGCGGGCAACTCTCATGGACATGCCTCGATCTCCCTACTTTGACAATCTGCTGGGTATAATTGGCAACACCGAGGCTGGTAGATCCACGGGCATTGACTGGTGGACCGTCATCATGGACCCTTCACTCGGCATGTAAGTTGCAATTCCTTGCTCTGACAGCCACAAACCTCGCTTCCTTTATCTTCTCACGCCGGGCTATTTCCTTCAACGTCAGACACCGAGTTTCTTTATGCGCAGTAGTGATGCTGACCGGTCTAGTTACAATGGAGGCATCACGTTCAAGCTCGGTGGCGGCATCAATATCAAGATACCAAACCACCAGCTCGTGGTTCCCGAGAGGAAAATAGACAAGGATGGCAATCTGTATGCGAATGCCTCGCGGCCCGTCATCCGCATCAACTCTCTGCAGAATACAACTGCCAACGTGCTGCCCATCTTGGGGCGCTATTTCCTCACCGGGGCGTACCTCATGGGAAACTCTGGCGCCGGCAAATTCACCATCTGGCAGGCAAATCCAACCACGGACCAGAGTCTAGTCGCAGTCAACGATGGCAACGAGGTCTTTGATCCCAGCAAGACGTGTGCCACCACACCTACGGCATCATTAAGCCCAAACGGTCCCGCCGGTGGAGCGGACAAGGCGTCTGGGGACAGTGGCAACTCGACGCTCTCCTCTGGTGCGGTAGCAGGCATAGCTGTTGGAGCTGCTGTGGCGGCGTTGGCTTGTGCCGCATCCATCTGGCTGTTTGTTCGGAAGAGGCGGGCGTCCTTGAACCAGCAGCAAGGTCGCCGGGCCGAAGACGCGGTGCGGGAACCCAAGGCCGATGGCGAGGCGGAATATCCGGCTCAGGGCATTCCTCATTTTATCCCGCAGGAGCTGCCGGCGGTTGGGAGGGAAGCCCCGCCGATAGAGATGCCGGGCTGATCTGTAACTTAACGGTGATGAAAACGTATTATATTGTTACATGGAGTTGTATTAATTGGAGCATTAATTCGTTATTTCTACTAACGTAATGGCAAAAATCAAGAAAGGGGCCGAATGATTATGCAAGACCACTAGCAACACCATGTTTTAGACGTTCCAGGCTAAGAAGCCGTAACTAACTGCGCGATATACGATGCGTTAAACACACTAGCCGAGTTGGTGATGCATCACCGCGCGCGCCGGCTTATTCATTTGTATATTATTTATCCAAATAACAATAATACTCTTGGTTACGATGCTTGGCGCATTTCATCGCCCCCGTGTCGGGCAAACGCCCATCCATCAAGGTCTTCGTAAACGGCAGGAGTCTTCCATATCACGGGGAAATCACGTCAATACCGTAACCCCTGTCATGCGAGTTTAAAGTCAAAATGGCCAACCAAATCCATCACCGCGTCACAGCGTCCTCGCCAACTTCCACTCTCTCCTAGTTCAAGGCGAGGGGCCCTCCGTGTTGCGCAAGTTTCCCCCTTCTTGGGCAAAACGACTAAACTCTTCGGGACAATATTGCTCCAAGCGACAATGCCATCGCTCTTGGCGGACAACTTCCGTTATCGCACTGCCGGATTCGAAAGGGCTATGGCAATGCGACCTTCTATGTTTGTAGAATACCCATCAGCAACTAAGTGGACGAGCCACTTGAGTCAATCCACTTGGTTGCCAAGTGGAGTCCACTTAGTTGCCAACCTTTAGTTAACCTCTGCGAACCATTCAACTTCCTTAATGATCCCGATAGATGGCGACTTGGCTCCGCCGACTTGTTTACACCTGCCGTTTTAAGCCGACTAGGACGCTTTGCCACGCGAGCTTGTCGATCACCCCGTCCGTGCAGACGAGCACGGCATAGAGTATACGAGCTGGGAACGCTGTATAACGGAACGATTTCGCATATAAATACGACTAGTCTTCCAACATGGAATTGACTTGTCTAACTCTAATAACAACCTTCTTCATATATTCCTTGTCCTTTGGATCATCGCCATTTCCATCACTACAATGGAGCTCAAGTCCCTACTCGCTGTTTATCTGCCCCTTTGTGCGGCTCCCTTGGCTGCTGCACGGCCTGCATCAAATGCAGTGTTTATTGTTGGCGGATCGCCTGCTGCGGCCGGTGAATTCCCCTTCATCGTCAGCACGTTGCTTAACGGGCGCCATTGGTGCGGCGGTGTCTTGTTGAACGCCAATACGGTCCTCACCGCGGCGCATTGCGTCGAGTCAACACCAGCCATCTCGCAGGTCCGCGCCGGTTCTCTCGTAAGTTATGTTTGCTTTCTTCTTGTATCAATGGGAGGATTGCTGTTCTTTTGGCTTCCATTGCCACAACCCACCTAAAGCTAAAACACACCTAGGCCCATGCTTCCGGTGGCGTTGTTGCCAATATCTCCTCTATAACCCCCCACCCTAAATATGAAGGTTTGGGATATGACATGGCAATCCTGAAGCTATCAACACCCATCGAGGCGAATGGCACCATCGGCTACGCCACATTGCCAGAGGCAGGCTCAGACCCTGTGGCTGGCGCCGACGCAACTGTGGCAGGATGGTAAGTATTACGAAGCGGCTCGCATACCCTACGTGTTATTCTAGAGATGAAATACTGATTTTTGAACTAGGGGAGATCTGGAGTACGCTGGTCAGGCCCCAGAAGAGTTACAAAAGGTTACTGTGCCCGTTGTTGATCGTGCGACATGCTCTGCGGCATATCAAGCGATCCCCAACATGCCGAATATCACGGACGCCATGTTCTGTGCTGGTCTTAAGGAAGGAGGACAAGATGCTTGCAACGGCGATAGTGGTGGCCCCATTATTGATACCGAAACCAGAGTTCTGATCGGAGTTGTGTCATGGGGTTATAAGTGTGCGGCGCCCAATGCTTATGGAGTCTATACCAGGCTGGGCGCGGATATCGAGTTCATCAAGAGCCACTTGTAAGCCGAGAGTCGGACAGTCATCAGACTTTGAACAAGGGGAACTTTGAGTAGGAGATTTTGCTGCTGAAGTCTGGTGTTCAGTACAATACGACATCTGTCAGCATTATCTCATCATCTCATCCCTTGAATTCCAGTCTCAAATTTACATTCGACATGGCCCTCCTGCTGGGTTGAGCTGTATATAAGAACTAGTTTCACATACATGGCGCAGTCCATGAATATAGAGAGTCAAATAAATTTTTCGGGATCCTCACGAGTTAATAGTGTAACTTTGCCGGGTCAGACACAATACGCATATAAACGTATGGTGTCACACGGAAAGGACCTGTTGGATACATAAGGGCTACGATCACGGGACTTGGGGCAAAGTCCCTCACTGACTTCTTGTATTTAAAGAGGTCTTTGGTTAATAAGGCCTTAAGGAAAATTAAGGACCTTTAATACCAAAGACTGTTCTTAGATAAATTGAGCTATTGCTCCAAGCCTTCCTTGTTGAACCCTTGTCACATATGGAGGGCGACCCAAATCGAGAGCTCTGTCACCAGGATTGGCTTTACTTTTCAGGGAAACCCAAACTCCCGCCCCGGTATAAAGACAAGCCTCATTTCAAATGATTCAAATTCACAGACAGAGGTGTAAGTTCATGCCTTGTCGGGGTTTCTATATACCTGGAGAAGTGTTGAATAAATGAATGAAGATTGAATTGTGTACCATCTCAGACATCTCCGCCAAAGAGTGTGAGACGCTCCAGACATGCTATCTAATGTAACAAAGAGTTTCTAAAAAGCCTACCTCGGTAGACAATCCAATCGCAGAAAAATACATCGTGAGATGCTAGCCAGCCATGACGCTTATCGGGCCCTTTAGGATACCCGCATCGGGGTGACCCTAGTCACATAATTTATAAAACGACTTCGTAGATGGGAAAGAAAATAACAACTGTTGGTAAGGATACATTCTCAGACACCGTCGGCCAAGCTTGTACCGTTTTTCTTGTAATAATCGGCCACCCACTCCTGCATCTGAGACACGACCCCGTCAATGACCTCCCGCGCACCTTCATTGATCCTATTCCTAACATCTAGATCATTGCAGTGTGCAGCCTTGGGAATGACCCACACAGGGGCTTGCTTGGTGGACTTCAAAGGACCTCCAGGTCGCGACTTGGACGAGACGGTGGCTGGGGTCCAGGGGTCATACTCCCCATTCACCCACATGAGGCGCGTCGTGTTGACATGATTCCAGCCGCCTGTCTTTAGGTTGAGCTGATCGACTGTGCGGCCCTTGTTGAGACCATAGGTAGAATTGCCGACGGTAGGGAACATAGTTTTGCAATCAGCCAGGGAACTGTCGCGGGTGAGAGCCTTGGATACGAGGCCGTTGTCTGAGCCAGGACCCCAGACTTGCCACCACTCGAACCTTTTTCAACGTTAGATGATTCTGCGGCTTTAAATACGTACAAGAAATGATGTACTTACGGCTCGTTGCAAAGAAACCACATCCAGAGAGGCTCGTCGGAGTCTTCTTGGTCTTCTGACGTGCTGTTACGTTCTCTCATCCACTTGGCAAACCCCTCGAGGGCACGCTGTGTACCAACCCCCTCTGGTCCGGGGATGGAAACATTGCTCCCAGACCATTGATTCTATGGGAGAGATTCCGTATTAGCTTGGCTAAATCTTCCGGACATGGGACGGGCATAGAGGAAGGCCATATGCTCACCTCGACATAATCGCACATCTGGTTAAACTTAGTATAACCGCTCGTGAAGTGGGTGTTTTGCCAGTCTCCCAGCGGACTCGACAGCACGTTGGCAAAGTCGCTGTCACTGGTGTTGCTACTGCTATTAAAGAGCGCCTTGAGCTCCTGTTTCTGGTGTGTGGTGCCATTAAAGAGGACGTCATCAACATGCGATATCAGCCTTTTGAAATCAGAACTGCAGTTGCGTGGCATGGCTTGCTCGATGGGACTAAAATATTCCCAAAAGGTTGAGACTGCCTGGACGACGGCGCTGGATGCATGGTATGCCCAAAAGATACCGGGTGCCAGGACATTTGTCCAGGCCGTGAGAGCGCCGGGGTACGAGCATCCAGTCAGGACCCAAGGAGCCTTGTCGGGCTTTGAATCACCATGGGAATCAAACGGAAGATACACATTATTAGCAAAGTAAATAAGATCTTGGATGGAATTGTCGAGGTTGAGATGCTGCAGAGTCTGGGCCGTCCAGTTCTTTCCAACGGGAGAACTGCCACCCCAGTAGCGATGCTCGAGAGTGATGGCGGCAGCCTTGTTTGTTTGGGCAAAGAGACCAGTCAGGGTCTCGTTGGAATGGTTGACGAGATTCTCGTCGACGGCAGCCTCACCGGGAGCCTCGAGGATGATGGGCGATCCTGGGCCGCCGTAGAAGTCGGCGCTCCACCAGAATCGCTGTTTGAAGGTGCCAAGACTGGGATTGTTGTGGTCAATGAGTTGGTCAAAGAGGCCGGCTTTTGGAGCGGCGGTGCCATTGTTTGATCGTGCTGGAATATGGCTGCGCCGGTCATATTTGTGCGAGTTGCCCGCAGCTGACGAGCCTACAAGCAACTCGGCAAGTACTGCAGCGAGAAACGAGATGCGCATCTCGGCGTAGATAAAGAACCGTAGGAGAGAACACGGATGAGAAGATTTCAGAAGTAAGGATGCTTACAGTACGATCATGATTCAGAGGATGTGAACAGTTCAACAAGACTTATGTCCAAGTTATATACCTTTTCATGGCAAATTAAAATTTGCTATTATGCTACGTCTCTTCGCCTTCATCCGGGCGTCATGTGTATGGAGGCACAGGCATTCTTTACACGGCGGACGGGCGTCTACCACAGCCTTTCCCGGCTCCAATTAACGGACATGGCCGTGTGAAGACGTGAGGTCGAGTGCAGAAAATGCATTCATCGCGAGTAGTCAGCATTCTGCACCGCCTTATTTTCTCAACATGGTTCACCGGGCGTTTCTCGATGTGTGTGGGCCTAGCAGGGTTATATAAAAAGCTTCGCCTCACTGCTCGGGCTCGCCAGGGCAGACAGTGGGGACTTCAAGGCAGAATTGCCAGCAGTCAATGAATCACCAGCTGAAATAGGCAGGAGGCAATTGGCAAAGCATAGATTGAACAGGACTTTTGAACCGATGGCGGCGCGGCCAGAGTTGGTGTTCTCAAGGGTCTAAGCAAATACAGGGTTGACTCTGCTTCACCATCGTACTTGGTTCGTATCCAATGTGGACTTGATCGACATAGGCTGATTATGATCCCCGGCCGAATAAACGGTGCTACAAAGTCTTACAATATATGCCATACGAGTTCCACTTTAAGCAGATTTCCGCATTACGCCATCGACTTGACCTTGAAGCACGCCCGAAAACAAAGCGAAAAGTTTGGTCATGGTCCAGACATGGTTAAACTTCATGTTGAGTCTGGTTTCCTGATGCTGTCGACTGTGCAACAGGACCCAGCAGCTGATACCACAGATTTAACTTGGCGGGCGGACTTGATAACTCGTACTAGGTCCGATGCCGAGGTGAGCCCTTGCTATAGGTGTAAGCAAAGCTACTGCTGCTGATCAATTTGAGCCTTTGAAGCTGTTGAATTTGAATTATTTCCTAGAGCTTCTTGTCATTTTCCCCTCTTGAAGCCCAGTTTATAAGCAATTGTATTGCGAGTCTTGTTATAGCAACTCCTAGCGTTAGCATTTAAGAAATAAAAGCAGAATTAGATTTCAGCTACTACGAAACTTCAACTTATATGCTTTGGCGACCGAAGATAGCAGCCACTAACAGTCGTGGCGTCGTCCGACAGCCATGACGAAGACGCGGGCAGGGTTGAGGGTTGGGTGGGTTCGTCGAGATCTATTGGGAGTCATCCCCATAACATGCCTGCACAAATTTATAGATCGAATATAGAGAGATTACTCTGGTGCCAGCCGGAGAAGTATCAGTACTGGCGGCCGAGCCTTAGTATGCGCGTAATAACTCAAGTCTTATAGTGCCCATGAATGTTATCATCGCAGGATGATATACTCGGCCCCATGCGTTTTAAACTTGAAATAAGCATAAAATAAAACAATAACTCTCCGCTAGTTAAGTCTGGTGCGTATTGTCTTCGAATAATATTCCCAGGCTCTATTGTCGAGAGGTATATATAGACGCCGCAGGTGCCGTTAAGTAGAATACTCGTGCATTCTTCTGCCAACAATTATTCTTGCTAGTGTTTAATCTATTATTAAATTATAATAAAAAAAATAAAAAAAAGGCTAGTTAATTACCAGGACCTACTAGTAGCACAATTAATAGCTGTACCTAGCTAATTAAACAGTAATACATAATTTTAAAAATAGTACACGCATTGTAATGCGTTAAATCCACTAGCTTAAGAGGTGATTCATAACCTTACGCGCCGGCGAAGTGTTTAATCTATTTCCTAAAATTTTATTTTACCAGGAGACCTCAGTTAAAATAAAGTTCTCAATTACCGTCGCTGGTATATTAATCGGACTAGTAGCGGCAGGTCCGCTAGAGGTCCGTGATCCGCAATTTGGTCCTGGACTAATAAACGGCCTTGATCTACCTCCAAACGGAGATTTCGATAGGGGTTTTGACGGGCCAAGTACTAGAGTCGTTGCACTGCCGCCTCCTACCAAAGGACCCAAAAACTCTAAAGGCCTTACCCAAAAAAACTGCGCTCTTATCAGCAAAAATCACGGCGCCGCCTTTGCTGCCAGCCTCGGGTAACGTGTACTCGCAGCGTCCTTATCAATCCGCAGTAGCTAACTTCCCCAGTGTTAATAACCTATTACGGACTGCAAGCCCACAGGGCTGGGCCAGAATACTGGAATTTACAGAGACCACTTTAGTCCTTGTGTTGAGATGCGCTCGATATATCCAAGAGAAGCAATCTTGTGTGTTGATGCCAGGCAGAAATGCTCCTGGATGTGACACAATATTCTTGCGGGTAGAAACGATTGATTCAACAGTGGCTACGGTGGCCTAATCACCAGTATTCGGACCACAATACGAAGCCCTAGATATCCCTCACTAGTTAGAAGAAATAAAGGATCATCGTCACATCTACATGTTCCACAGCTGCTTATAAGTAAACTACTACTTTTACCGGGGTAAACTTTTATCCGAAAGGATATATCCCTGTCCGAAACCGCTCTGAGTCATGGGTTCAACATCATGTCATTTAAGCTAGTATTTGCCCTATCTATATCTATTATGCGCAGTGTATTTTGAAACACGGCGAGGCCTGTCATGGATGTAGGGGTGGAGAATAACTTGCATTCGCGGCGATCTTCCATCACGTAAGTGGTCGAGGTCTTTAATTACATATAATACATGAATCACGTCGTGCCCACTGCATGAGAACTAGACGCGTAAGCCTGCAAGAGCACTAAGTTAATTCTGCCAGGCTATGCGCATTTCCTGCATAATAACACTTATTTATCTTATGGGCTACACGCTGACGGTCCGACTAGTAATAATTACGGAGAACCTTAAGGAGTGTGTCAGACAATTAGGGGTTATAAAAGATCGAGCTTAATAGCGCTAAAAGCGCTAATTATATTAATTAAGAACAAGTTAGAAACAGGAAAGAAAGAGTGGGAGTTAATAGTTTAAGTTTTATAGTTAAAAGGAGTAAAAGTTATTAAGAATATAATTTATAAAGTTATTCTGCCTTAGCTTCTAGTTTTTTATACTTAGCTATTACTTTTAGGTCTGCCTTAATAGCGTTAAGATTATAATAAGTTTAAGTATATATATTTAAAATTATTACCCCTACTTAATACTATATATACTTATTTATTAGAGATAATATTAGAATTTAAGGCGATAATAATAGCTGGCAGGAATAGGCCTTAAACCTTATAAATTATTAACGTAAATACGTTGTAATTAGAAGCTGTGTACGCTTATACTCCACTCTATTTATCTAAAAATACAGTCCAGCCCCTGAATTATTCTATATACATGACCTAATAAGAGAGTTAATAACTAATTAAAAAAAGCTTTTTATAAAACCCCTCTTAACACCTGATTTTCTAAAAGATATAAGCTATAATTAGTATATTACCCCCTGCTATTAGCTACCCTGTCAGGTCACGCATAAAGAATAATTTAGGGGGTGGACTGTATAACCAAGTTTTATGCAAGTGCATGACCTGAAATATATTAGCTGCTTTGCGGGTCTCTCAGCTTCAACGGTAAGGCCAAGAAAAAAGAACTTACTTGGATTCCATCTTTAGACGAATTCAAAACTTAAGATAAAAACGTCAAAATAGGAGGAAAATCGAGGTGCGACCCTTGAGCCTGCAGTCTCCAATTCATTGGGGTGTAAGGACACAGCAGTCCAACAATTATCATATATAGGGGATAAGGACGCGAGTAATGCATGGCCTTGATTAATGCTTGATGGCCCGAGGGACCCGCATAGCCGGGCAACGTTGCGTCGACGCATGATAAGTTTAACAGAACCTGACACGTAGAGTAAATTTGCAATGCGTTCCCGTACTTACGGGTCTTACATCCCTTGGCGTTAAGGCGTGACTTCAAAGTATTACACCTATGCATTACAGGCTGTCGCTGCAACGCCGGTTGGTATATAAAACGCCACCCGTAGAAGGAATTCCCTTGACTTCTTGTATTGGTGCACCAACCTTGCTTTCAACTGTCATAGATCTTTAATTCCCCTTTGCATTTGCTCACACGCCAACTGTCGCCGTTGAAAATCTGCGAGATGAAGTCTCTTAGCATTGTGCTTGCTACTTTTGCGGCCTTGGCTCTTGCCAGAGATCCTCCAAATAATGAGGAATTGAACCGCCAAGCAGAGCAAATTTGTGGGAGTCTCGAGAACATCAACCTGGATAAATGCAAGAGAGACACCAAAGACTGCTTCGGAAGTGCTTTAAGCATAAAAGGGATTGAAAGGGAGACGAAGAATTCTGGAAAAATATCCGAGTATGCACTGTCTTCCGAAATATTAATGGCCTTGGAGACGTAAGTAGCAATTGTTTCATAGCCAATTTAATGCGATAATTAATGCGAAGGATAACACTAGTCTCCCAAAAACTTTATTGCTGCCTTAGACGACAGCCAACGATTCATCTGCGAACCACCAGCAAAGGTAGCCGTTCTTTTCCTAAAACAAGATAGTCTGCCACTAATATTTTTCTAGGGGAACAAGATGGATTGCGTCGTCATCTTTAGGGATATGGTCGAGAAATATTGCGCAAATCAGGACTGCCGCTTTCCGAGCAAGCTGCCTGACTTTTGCGCTGAACTCGGCGGAGTAAGTGTTTACAACACCCTCACAAACGACAAGAACATCAAGCTGACATGGCGACCAACTCTAGTGCGAGAAGTGCGAGCATGGTGCCAGTAACAACAGTCACGGTGACTTAGAGGACAAGTTCCCTGGGGCCGTAAGTGATTAATATTGAAGCCTAGTCCACGCTATTTGCTGAACCGATTCCTTCTAGGGCCCCTTCTCGTGTACTCTACGCCAGAACAAAGTTAATATGTGACAAGGGTTTAATTATAAAGGCTTAGAGTAATAAGGCTTAATTTAATAATAATTTTATAGGATATTA